AATGCTGGCTAGTTAAAAAATGTCACCTGAACTTAACAATGCTTTGCAGGATGTGATTAAAATTATCGACCACATTAAAGTGCATGCCCTTAACTCATGTTACACATACCTTCTCTTACACAGAAGTGAGATGGCTTTCTAAAGGTAGATCACTGGCCAGAATTTTTGAGGTAGAGCCACTGCAGAGATTTCTTTTAGAAAAACAGTCACCACTGGCAGGCAGCACATTTCAGTGACACAGAATGATCGCAGAACTTGCTTACTTGTATGATATATTCACCTTTCTCAATGAATTCAATCTGTTGCTTCATGGGAGAATGGCAGTTGTGTTCAAGTTGGCAGATAAAGTGGCTACATTCAAAGACAAACTAGAAGTATGGGGGCAATGAGTGAACATTGGGATTTTTAACATGTTTCAAACATTAGCAGAGATTTTGAAAGAAACTGAGCTAGGGCCTTCTTTCTCCTAGCTTGTACATGATCACCTATCTCAACTTTCGAAAGAGTTTGAGAATTACTTTCCAACCACAAAGATTCCCAGACTGGAAAGGAATGGATCTGCGAGCCATTTGTGAATAAGCCAGGTGAATTGACTTTGTCCATGCTAGAAGAGGATCAACTGCTTGAGATCACAAATGGTGGTGGCCTTAAAAGTATGTTTGAGAAAACTTCAGATCCCCATATGTTCTGGATTAAAGCCAAGGCGGAATATCCTGAGATTGCCACAAAAACCCTGAAAAGCCTGCAGTGACAGCAACCAAAATGAGATTACAGAGCAGACTGGACATAAGCGACACACTTTGGGTGTCACTGTCTCCCATCACCTCCAGATGGTACCGTCTAGTTGCATGAAAACAAGCTCAGGGCTCCCACTTATCCTGCATCATGGCGACTTGTATAATTATTTCATTATATATTACAATGCAATAATAATAGAAATAAAGTGCACAATAAATGTAATGCGCCTGAATCATCCCAAAACCACTCGCTCCCCACCTCGGGTCCATGGAAAAATTGTCTTCCATGAAACTGGTCCCAGATGCCAAAAAGGTTGAGGACCTCTATGTTAGAGGCCCGACAATACAGATAACAAGGAAACTCCCCAAAAAACCAGTATTATCTTTTGGAAGTCAGGCCCCTTGTAGTACAGGCTTCCCCTGCTAGGTAAGTGTTATAGGAACCCTCTGCATCAGTGTACCAGCTAGCATTGTTGTAAGAGGTTGCATTTGGCTTCAGTGATTTTTTGTGTGGGAAACAGGTGACTGGTTCTTCTGCCATGACAATGCCCCTGCCCACATGATGCTGTGAGTGTTCAACAGTTTTTTTACCAAAAACTGCATGACTCCCATACCCTACCCTCCTTATTCACCAAATCTCACCCTGAGTGACTTTTGTTTGTTTGTTTCCCCGGATGAAAAAGTTCTCAAATAAAAATGTTTTGCCAATGTGAAAGAGGTAAAACAAAAAATGGCAGAAGCACTAAATGACATCAGAATTGATGAGTTCAAAAACTGTTTTGAGCAGTGGAAAAAGCATCTCAATAGGTGTATTGCATCAACCAGCGAGTACTTTGAAAGTGACTGAAGTTTAAACATGTAAGAATAAATACACAATTTTATCTAAATACGTTCCATTGGGGGCCTTCCATATATATAAAATGAAATTGCTTTTTTAAATAGTTAAGAGAAGAAGAAATATACACTTATACTGTCTTATATTACTTTTACTGATGTTCTTTTTTTATCTGGATTCAAATTAGTATCTGGTGTTACTTGCTTTTTACTTAAAGATCTCTTAGCAACAAATTCTTTCAGCTTTTGTTTATCCGGGATTGTCTTCATTTCACCTTCAGTTCAGAATGTTAGTTTTGCTGAACATTAGACTGTTAGTGGACTATTACTTTTCTTTGATCACTTTGAATAGGTTATCCCACTTCCTTCTGGCCAACATTGTTTTTAAGTATAAGTCACCTGTTATGAGTTTCCCTTTGTATGTGATGAGGTCTTTTTCTCTCTGTCTTTTATCATTTTGACTATAACGTATCTGGGCTGGATCTCTTTTCATTTGTTGATTCTGCGTAGATTTTTTGGGCTTCTTGGATGTATAAATGAATGTTTTTCTCAAAATTGAGAAGTTTTCAGCCATTAAAAATATATATATTTTAGCCGGGCTCGGTGGCTCAGCCTGTAATTCCATGCTTTGGGAGGCTGAGGTGAGTGGATTGCCTGAGCCCGTGGGTTTGAGACCCGCCTGGGCAACTTGGCAAGACCTCATCTCTACAATAAATCAAAAAATTAGCCGGGCGTGGTAGCACACACTTGTAGTTCCAGCTACATGGAAGGCTGAGGCAGAAGGATCACTGGAGCCCAGCAGGTGGAGGCTGTGGTGGCCGGGAGTGGCCACTGCACTCCAGTCTGGGCAACAGAGTGAGACTCCAACTCAATAAATAAATAAATATTCTTTCCAATTGGGCATAGTGGATCATGCATGTAATCCCAGGACTTTGGGAGGCCAAGGTGGGAAAATTGCTTGAGTCTGGGAGTTTGAGACCAGACTGAGCAACATAGCAAGAGCTTTTCTCTACAAAAAAAATGTAAAAAATTAGCTGGGCATGATGGTGTGCACCTGTAGTTCCAGCTACTTAGGAGGATGATGCAGAAGGATTGCCTGAGCCCTAGAGGTCAAGGCTGCAGTGAGCCATGATTGTGTCATTACACTCCAGCCTGAGCAACAGAATAAGACTCCAACTCAAAAATATTTTTTTTCTTCCTTCTCTCCGATCTTTTTGGTAATCCCATTATGATGTACTTAATTGTGTCCCACATTATACTGAAACTTTGTTTGTTTTTCTTCTTTTTCATTCTGTTCTTCGTATTTCATAATCTGTTTATCTAGTTTCACGTTTGCTGATTATTTCTGTCAACACAAGTCTGATGTTGATCCCCTAGCAGAGGTCCTCAAACTTTTAAAACAGGGGGCCAATTCACTGTCCCTCAGACCATTGGAGGGGCGGACTATAGTTTAAAAAAAAAAACTATGAACAAATTCCTTTTTTTTTTAACTATAGTCCGCCCCTCCAACGGTCTGAGGGACAGTGAACTGGCCCCCTGTTTTAAAAGTTTGAGGACCCCTGCCCTATAGTGATTTTTATTTTAGTAATTAAAGTTTTCAACTAGAGTTTCCACTTGATTTTTATAATTTTTATCTCTTTACTGAGATTCAACATTTGATGAGCATTGTCATACCTTCCTTAAGTATGGTTTTCTTCACTTATTTGAACATGTGTAAAATAGCTTCTTTGAAATCTGTGTCTGTTAAGTTTAACATATGGGCATTTTCAAAGTCATTCCCTCTTACCTGCTTTTTTCCTGTGTATGGATCATATTTTCTTATTTCTTTGCACATCTTATAACTTTTTGTTGAAAACTGAGCATTTGAGATAATATATTGTAGCATCTTTGGATACTGATCCCCCTGTGTGGTTCATTGTTGTTAATGTTTACTTCTTTATGTGTTTAGTGACTTGGCTGGACTAGTTCCATGGAGTCTATTTTCCTCATTAGTATATAGACTCTGATATCACTCCTCAGCAGGAACAGTCTTTGCGTGTGGCAGTCGCCTTGAATTCTCTATCAATAAGAGATGACAGTGGTTTTAGCAGGGTGGTTCCTTTAAACTATCTCTTTTCCTAATCTCCCTCTTAAGCCTCTAGAAGGTCTTCTTCTATGGGTATCACATCCAGCTGTTAGTCTTGACTAATTGCTAGGTGATTACTGTGTGTGTGTTTGTTAAAAATGCTCTTGGGGATACATTGCTCCTCAGCCTGTTCCAATTAAAATAAGACCCTTTTGGAGGAGTAGAGATCTCCTCCAAAGGTGTCTTCACCTGTTTTTTTCCTATAAACTTTTAGTTGGTTTATTGTTTTTGCTTGTTAATATCGTTGAGCTACCAGCCTCTTCTTGATTGCTCACTACCAAAATCTCTGTGATTTTATACAGTGCCCTTAAACTTACCCAGGCTCTGTTCCAATTAAAGTCATTTCCTTTAGGAAGTGCTACAGAGCTCTCTCTTCTAATGACCTGCTCCTCCTACTGAGCAGAAACTCTGACCCACTGTTTTGGAGCTAGGGGCAGGCACAGAGCCCACTTCTATCAGAGTGACAATCAACCTCTATGAGTGGAAATTGAGTGAGAGTTGTAGTTCCTGATATCCTTGGCTTGCCACTCCCAGCAAGGAAACTCTGTCTTATAAGCAGCTGAGATGAAAACTGTTGAGATCCAGTATTCTGAACTTGATATTCCTGGTGTAAAGCTTTTGCCTTACAAATGGAAGCTGGGTAGAGAAAAAGAGCAACAGGCCTCTGAGCTGTGCTTATAAACAACAGATCTTCTACAATACAGACATGGGAGGAATGAGAAGGGCTAGCAGTCTGGCCTTCCTGGGAATCCCTAGCCCAGAATCTGAGGGTAAAACAAATCCCATATTCTCAGCCATGCACATCTAAAGTAGTGCTTATATCACACTGAACTGGGGGATAGTGAGTGGGCCATGGCTTAAATGTCACAGGCTATCACTGTTCTTATTGAGACATAGTAGATTTCCTGGAATTCATGTTTCTCCATTTTCTTTATTTCCTTGGGGCAATTGATTGTGTTTTATAATTCTCACCAGTTATGATTGTTTTTCTGGGGAGAGAGTCTATGCAGCTCCTCACACCACCAATCTAGAAGTGCTTTTCTTCTGTTCAGGCTCATTAAAGAAATTGATAATGCTCAAGGTTTTCTACTTAATCCTCATTTTTCTGGAGCAAATAAGGAAAAGAGCAAATAGAGGCTAATATTTCTATATAAATTCCACATTTTCAGTTTAAGCTATCATTTTTCTATTATTTTATTTTTACTGTTTTAATGAAAATGATATGCTATATGAGATTTTAATATGCTTAAAGTTCCTTTTTGTTGAGACTAATTATCCTGTTGCATTGTTACCAAATAGACCAGGTTACTGAATCGTGCACTTGAGCAGATCCATAAGTGCAAGGACATCTGGAATCTCCTGAAACCAACAGGTACAGTGGGAACTGAAAGTTTGACAACATAGTTATGAAAGGAGTTTAAAATCTAAATAAACAAGTATTTCTTAGTCATCAGAAATTTGTGCCACTGCAGTACTTGATAACCAGTCAAATGATTCTTTAAGAAGTGATTTTTCCCACTGTATGTCAGTATTTTGACTCCATAACACACTGCTTTAAGTAAGAATATTTTTTACTTTTCTTTTTATGAAAATATAATATTAAATATTTTATTGTTCAACATGAACATGACATAATTGCTCTTAAGTCACTAGATTTAATATCAAATTTAATCAAGTTTTAACTCCAATTAAATGTAGGCTATATAGTATTTTCAACTACAATCAAGATATCAGATACTGCTAATGTTTTGTTATAAAATTATCTAAATAGTAGGAAACCTTTTGAAGTTATATAATAGCTTGATATAGTTTTCTCATTAAAGGTGGTATAAAAAAAGATGATATTAACTTTGAGATTTAGGTAGAAATTTTTATAGTATGCTCATCTGTTCCTGTTTTTTAAATTTGTTAAAAATCAATGTGTATTCGATTAAATTGCATGCCTTTTTAGACTTTATTGATATAGTATGATTTTTTATTGAAATCATGATTTTTCTCATTTGAACTATTAATGCTGTAATAGATTTCTTAACATTAAGTCATCATTTCATCCCTGGAATAAACCCTGTTTGGTCATGATGTATATTTTAGTATGTTGCTGAATTCTGTTTCCTAACATTTAGAAAGTATTGATCTGTCATTTTCTTTTTGTGCTTGTGTCATGTCTTTGACAGACTTTACTATCAAATTACAGAAATTATAAGGGGGAACATAAAAATGTAAAATTCATTTTACCTCTCTCAGTATATGACAGCTATTTAAATGAATAAAAATGACAAAAAGTACAGATAGAGAAGACCTAAATAAAATACTTACTATAGAAGATTTAATGTAAATAAACTCTATAGCCTGAAAATATACTCTGTATCCTGAGAACAGAAAAACATGTCTTCTTTTCATGTGTCCTTTGAATATTTACAAAATTGATGGCAAGGAAAATCGGAATCAATTCCAAGGCATATAAATAAAACAGACATCATTATCTGATCACAACGCAAAAACTAGAAATCAATAATGGAATAAATTTTTTAAACCCTACGTGTACATTTTTAAAAACCCAAACTACAGGACACATAGGAAATAATAATAATGAAAACAACTCATACTAGAATCTAAAGTTCTAAAGCAGTGCTCAGAGCAAATTTCATAGCCTCAATGAATTTTATTAACAAAAGTATGTCAAAATGGTAGCTGTCCACCAAAAAAAATCAGTTTTTTTCTGGGAATACAACTAGATGATAGATATATGATTGATGGATAGATTGATAGATTGATAGATAGAGTCTGTAAAATGTGAGCGATGGTTCTCAAATTTTAAAAAATATTTTAAAAAGAAGAACAAAATATAGAGAGATAAAGATCTCTACAAATAGTCTTGGTATATATATATATATATTTTTTAATTAATTAATTTATTTTTTGAGTTGGAGTCTCACTCTGTCGCCCAGACTGG